TTTAAAATACAGTAATTCAGTTGTGACCCTAAGAATCCCTCAATGCCAGCTGGCAAAAGGGTCCCTGTTCAGTAATCGCAACTTCTACCAGGCCTGACAAACTCACTATACCTAACACATTGCTGTGATAGTATTTATGTATAAAGAATATCATGTGAGATCTTAAATGGAAGCCAGGATCATGATGGTCATTTATACTGTCATGAAATGTACGTACTGATTATATTAAAAGTTATGTCTATATGCTGAAAATATGACCTTATGCTTTGTATCAAGGTGTTATTCCCCAGCAGAGGTGAAAATCTGGTTTTGACAAAGGGTTGTATATTCATACATCTTCCTGGATTCATAGGTAGATTAAATATTGTAAGCCAGACACAACTGGAGCTACATTTCCATTTCAAGTCAACATGTGGATGTGAAGACAACTTGTAAGAGCACACCAGGAAGGGAAACACAAGAGGTCATATTGTCACTGGGGTCAAATCAATGAGTTTGGGGAAATATAAGGAGGAACAAAAAGCCATTTTGGTATCCATTTACTGAGGAAATACCCTTAAGGGCATAGGGTATTCATGAAAACTTGCATCCTGGTTTGACTGGAAACCAGCAGCTCTGTCAAAAACTGAATCCTTGGGAGAAAATCTTCTGTATTAAATGGGAAAGGTAGTCATTAATAAGTGTAGACTTAGGACTGTGGTTTAGGTTTTGTTTTGTTTGTAACCATTCTGTTTCCAATATGTTTACTCACTAATTAGCTGAAGCTGACTCTCTGGTCTGTGTTAATAAACTTACCCTTGTTTTTATTATAAATGCATCACAATGCTAGGGTATTAAGCCAAGTGTGAATTCTCAGTTGAACCTAATAAGCTGATGTGTATAGTGTTTCCTGTGGGGACAGTGAACGTGGTTATTTCTGACAGGTTTCAGAGTGGTAGTTGCGTTAGTCTGTATCAGCAAGACAACGAGGAGTCCTTGTAGCACCTGAGACTAACAAATTTATTTGGGTATAAGCTTTTGTAGGCTAGAACCCACTTCATTAGATGCATGGAGTGGAAAATACAGGAGCAGCAATGCCCCTCTGCAGTGTACGTTAGCCAAACCGGACAGTCTCTAAACAAAAGAATAAATGGACACAAATCTGATATCAGGAATCATAACATTCAAAAACCAGGAGGTGAACATTTCAATCTCCCTAGTCACTCAATAGCAGATCGAAAGTAGTAATTCTTCAACGAAAAACTTCAAAAACAGACTCCAATGTGAAACTGCAGAACTGGAATTAATTTGGAACCTAAACACCATCATAAAGACTGGGAGTGGTTGGGTCATTACAAAACCTAAACCTAATTTCCCCAGTACTAATTTCCACCTGTTGTTACTCACACCTTCTTGTCAACTGTCTGAAATGGGCCACTCTCATTACCACTTCAAAAGTTATTTTTCCTCCCGTGGTATCCTGCTGTCAATTGAATTGTCTCATTAGACTGACCTCATACTTGGTAAGGCAAATCACATCTTTTCATGTATTTATACTTGCTCCTGTATTTTCCACTCCATGCATGCTGGTTATTTCTGTGTGTCCAGTGATAGCAGCTGGACCTTGCAAGAGCCACTGCTACAGGGCAGGGCCGGCTCTAGCTTTTTTGCTGCCCCCAGCAGCAAAAAAAAGCGCCGAGCGCCGCGCCGCCCCCCCGCCGAAAGCGGGAGCCCGCCCCCCGAGCGCCGCTGGAACCCCACGCCGCCCCAGCGCCGCGCCGCCAGAGCCCGCCCCGCCCCGCCCCTGCCGAGCGCCGCCA